AATATTGTGGAGTTTGCTTCATGAGAGTAAATGTAAGACCGGGTATCACTCTCTTACGTTAATGTAATGTCAGAGCAGTGCTTTTCAAACTTCAGTGTTTCTTGAAATCACTAGGTTTAAAATGCAAGTTCCCACTCAGTATGTCTGAGGTGGGGCCTGAGATCCCTCATTTCTAACACATTTCCCAGGGCTACTGATGCTTGCTGGGTCCTCGGTGACATTTTGAGTAATTAGGGTCGGAGCTGGGGTTCCCATCTTTTGGGGCACAGTTTTTTGAGGAAAGCTATGGACCCTCGGAACAGTGAACCGGTCACCACACCCTTCCTCACCATCACACCCCAGTCATACAATTGTTGTCAAGGAGATGAACCATTTGAAACCCACCTCGCATCTTCAGTTTTGATTTCAGAGGTGGTAGAGAGGCGCTTATTACCTAACGGTTCTGCGGTCAGTATCTTTCCTAGTGTTTTTATACAGTGGATGTTAGTTTAAAACTTGGAAAGTACTTTTGTGGTTACCTACAGGCTACAATAAATGGTCATGTGGAGGGCCCTTCAAATTTGGCTCTCCAAAGGTATAAAGCTCTGAGCTGTGGCATTACTTCATCCCTGGCTTCCAGCAGGAGTGGTAGGCATTTGTATGAGCTGCATTGCTTCATGTTTTTTAAACAAGAATTGACAAGTACTGTGAGTCACTTCTAATCTTCTTAGATCCCTGGATAATTTTGTGCACCCAACAGGCATTTGTTGATAATAGTGGTTTTAAAGTGGAAGATCTAGGCACACATTGAATGGCTGAGAATGACCCATGGAGACCCAGATGCAGCAGTCTGTGGTATTAAAACTCACCCGTGCAGTTCTCTTGCTGGGCAGGATGTACTTTTGGTAGTTGCTGTAGGAAAGGGGTCAATTTGTGAAGTATTTGTTTTATGGCTCCTGGCCACAGGAACTCAGAGTGTCCCTGAGGCAGTTCTCACTTTTTGGTCCACGATGGAGCAGCCCAAGACCTGGAGGGTGGGAGTGGAATCTCCTAGCACAGGGGAGGGATTTCATTTGTTTACTTGTCTTTAAGTCACTGTTCATCTAGCCACACCCTTCTTCAAACTGCCTTGGAAAGGTTAAATGGATTCTGTGGGAATTTACTGTAGTTCTTGAACGGTGTTTACTATGACATGCTCTTGGATTTAGGTGTTTTGTCTCTTCCTCTTGAGGTGGCCAGGATGCTATCCCCACGTGGTTCCCCCACCTCTGGATTATTTTAAAGTAAACCCCAGACATATCATTTCGATGGAGGACAGGGCAAATTTCCCCGAGTTGCGGGGGGTGGGGATCAGGGGCGGGGGAGACCAAGCCCTGCACCGAGAGAAGAGAGTCCTTTGGCAGAGAGAGTAGACAGAAATTCAAAACACGCCAAAGTTAGTGTCAAAAGGAAAGTTTATTAGAAAAGAGGTAACACTCCACAGAGTGTAGTCTCTTCTCAGAGGCAGAGAGTGAGAGGGACAGTGAGAGACAGAATAAAGGCACTGAGAAGGGACCCTGAGTGTTAGGGGCATTCAGTTTATATATCATTCTTCAGTTCCTGTGAGTTAACAGTTTAAAGACTTCGTTTACCCATTTCCTTTGATATGGACATACAGTGAGGAAGGAGGAGCGTATGTAGCTTGAAAAGGTAAGAATATGTAGAGTGAAAGGCCTCTGGCAGTTCCCAGCCTTTATTCCATAGGTTCCGCATGGTTTTAGCCATAAGGAATGACTCTTGGTTCCTGTTTCCCCTCCACAGATGTAGGGAGTGAGTTTTTAGTAATCCAGCAGAAATCTTCCTTTGTTCTGAAGGTGTGTGTCCTCCTGGTCTGGCTTCAGGGCTGATTAGCACATTGCAGTCTCTGATTGTGGCTTGATTAAGCATTTTAATTCTCTTGCCTCCTCCCTATGTTGTGGCCGCCAGCCCCCCGAAAGACACACAGACCACCAGAAATCAGTGAGTTATAGGAAACATGCTCTTTATTCAGCCAGCTGAGTCTGCCAGGGGTACGCAGACCCCAAATTAAGCAGCCCCGAAATGTAGAGGTACGGGGTTTTTAAGCCCTAAATCCCATTCCTCATTCTGTCTTAAACACAAAAGTCTGTTTTTCTCCTATTCACTACCTGTCAACCCACAGGTCTGGTGTGCAAGCGGGAGTACAGAAGCAGAAAGCTTATTGTTAGAATGTTATGTTCCCATGGGTGATAGCCTATGTTCCCATGGGCGATAGCCAAGCAGTAATTTTCCAGCCAGCACACCTACATTACTTGTATCATTTATCTCTTGCTGTGTAACAGTACCCCAAAATTTGGGGCCTTAAAACAGTATTCTCTCACAGTTTACGGGTCAGGAGTCTGGAGGGAGTTTAGCTGGGTCCTCTGGCTCAGGGCGTCTCTCAAGGCTGCACTCTCGGTGCCAGGCTGCTGCAGCCATCTCTTGGTGTGGCTGGGGTGGAGTGCGTCCGTGCCCATCCACGCGGCCTCTGGCAGGCTTTAGTCCCTCATACCTTGATACCTCGGTCTCTCCAGAGGGCTCCTCACAACGTGGTAGCTGGCTTTCCCCATTGCCAGGGTTCTGTCAACTTTAGATGAAGTTTATGCTAGTTTTTGTCATTCAGATTCAGGACTATAGAGTTTTTACTTAACCTCATGAATCTTATGTTTGTATCTCTTTTCATCTGAAAACCTTGGTTTCAGTGCCACCAACGTAATTACTCATGTTATTCTACAGTACACAAATTTCAGAGTGACAAAACTTTATCACCAAAAATATGTCTGAAAATGCTTTAAGATTTCTTTATAATTTTTTTCCTCCTTAGGCTATGTCCCACCACATTATACAGTCAAATTTCTCTATACAGTCGTAATTGAAATTGTTTCTCACTGTGCAGTGCAGTTACGTTTATTTGCTTCAACTTTTGCATTTTAGGTTATTTTAAAATACACTTTTGTTTCATTTTTCTATAAATTATTTTCATCATTCTGAAGATTATTTCTAGATTAAAGTATATACATATTTTTTAAGAAATCTAAGGATCTATCCCTGTCCCTTCTACTCCATTTTCTTCTTTCTCCACAGGTAGCGTTTTGAAAAAAAAAAAAAAATAGGTTATCCTTTTTACCTTTAAATATAAGTGGTAGCATTCCGTGTATACTTTTTTCCATCTTGCATTCTCCACTTAGCAGTAGTAGATCCTGGCTTCCACTCAGTAGCAGTGCATAGAGATCTTCATTCCTTTTTCAGTGACATAACACTCCATTGTGTAGATATATGGTTATTTATTCTAGAGAACTATACTTTTCATGAGTTCTCTTGACTTCCTTTTCTGAATGGATATGTTACTGGAGAGTGGGGTCCTCTCCCAGCACATTGTCCAGGTTTTTGATGTCTCGAACAAAGAATTGAGCAAGACACCGAAATACAGCAGAAAAGAAAAGCTTTATTAGAAGGGGAAGTACACTTCCAGATGTGGAAGTGGGCCTGAGCAAGAGAAGCATGGCTCAGAAGGCCTGGTAACAAAGCCTTTGGGATTTTTATCCCTATTTGTTGTGGGTGGTTACTTTTCTTAGAGGGGTGAGCTTCCTTGATTGACATTTAAGATTGATAGAACGCAGTGATTCATCATTTGCTTTCTGCACATGTTCGATCCCAGAATTCAGTCTGTTATAATGATATTAATGAACTTCCAGGCATATGCATCATATTATAATAAGGATATAATGAGGCTCAGGTGAGTTGAAGGTCATTGGGTCTTCATTGTGGGGGTGCGAGTGATTGGCTTAAACTGGTACTTAATTTTCCGCTTGTTTCCTTATACGAGTTATTTTTAGCCCAAAAATGCCTTTGGCTTGCTTATTTGTGGGCAGGCTAGGACGGACCCCTTCTAGGATAGGATGACCTCAGTATCTTTGCAGGCAGACCCACCAACCCCTAACTTTTCCGCCTAACTCTTTTCTGAGAGCCATGAACCCCTTCATTATTAGTATGGAAGTTGAGGGACGACGGG